TCATCAGGCTTCCTGGTGCTGCCAGCTCCCTCGTGACCAGGAACAGCTGCCACCAGCTATTCCCAAGAGCACAGAGCTGGGGCCACCCCACACGGCTGTGCACAAGTCACCATGGGCAGAAGGTTCAGGCACCTAGTAGGGTTAGGTCATTAAAGATTCGGGATCTGTGACTTCCCACACTAGTTAGTCCATTCCCACGTGCCGTCATTCCATGTCAGCGAATCCAGACACGGTGGTTTAAATAAGAAGCATTTGAACATGCCCAGTTGGTGGCACTGTTTGGGGGCTGTGGAACTTTTAGAATGGGGGCATTGAGGAAGGGTGTCACTGGAGGCAGACTGTGAGACTTTACAATCAGCTCACTTCCAGTTTGCTCTAATGGCTTCCTGTGTGTGTAGCTGAGATTTGACCTTTCAGCTTCCAGCTCCTGTTACCACACTTGCTGCTTCCTGCCATGCTTTCTCTGCCATTACGGATATCTAGTTCTCTGAACCTTAAGGCAAAATAAATTCTTATTTCTGTATCAGCTGTTCTCAACCTGTGGGTCATGACCCCTTTTGGAAAACATAGATATTTACATTATAATTCAAAACAGCAGCAAAATTGCATTTATGAAGTAGAAACAAAAATAATTTTATTGTTGGGGGTCACCACAACATGAGGAACTGTATTAAAGGGTCACAGCTTTAGGGAGATTGAGACTCACTGTTCTATAAGTTGATTTTGGTCATTGAATTTAATCACAGTAACAGAAAAGTAACTAATTCACTAGACTAACCTGACCTTCTCCTTGGTTATTGTGGCTGAAAGGGTCTCTGACATTGGTGATGACATCAAATGTCATCTCTACCAGTCTCTCCCTTTAGAATGTGATATGGGCTGTTGAAGTAGATATGAAGAAAATGACAAGAAGACACTTGTGGAAGGTGCTGGAGAAAGAGAAACATCAACAAGAAAAGTTCATGACCTAGAGATAGTGACAGGGAACCCAAGGAGACACTGTGATGGCGGTGGGATTAGGATTCATCTTAGAAACGGGGTTATTTTGTGTGGAGGCAAGGGTGATCAAGGTCGCAGTGGGTGCTCTGAAGTTCTCCTGAAAAACCAAGCAGTAATTCCTGCTCACCCATTTGATAGGCATGACAGTGTGCTGTATGTCTCACTATTTCAATAAGCAAAAATATTCCCCAAGCTGGTTCTTTGATGATGTTTTCATGAAGCCAAAAAGTGAACTATCCTTTTGAAATTTTAGAAAGGGCTAACTAAAACACCTAACTCATTTCCCAAGTTTCCTACCCACTGTGCTGTCTTCCATTGCTATTTATCTCTTCCCCCAGCCTGTTCCTTTCCATCTATGACAAAGGCCAATGTAAAGCTGGTGCTTTTACCTCATTTTGAGTGAGCAAAACAAAAACCCTAAAAAAAAAAAGCACAAACTTTGCAACTACAATTGAGTAATGGCCACGAACAAGGGGGATGAAGTTAATGGGTTTTTATAGATTTACTATTATTTTTAAATATATGTGCATATGTGTGTACCTGAGTGAGTTCATACACACCATATGCCTGTAGGTGCCCTTGAAGGTAGGAGAAGGCTTGGATCCCAGGCATTGGGTCTTCTGGCCTGAGTGAGTGGAGGGTTTTCCTCACAAATGACAATAAAAGATGATAGACCACAAATGCTGCGTTTAAATAATTCACAAATGTTCAAGATCAATTTATATATGTAATGGCAGCTACTGTTTAAGCATTTTCTTTTTCAAGATTTCTTTTATTAAAAGCACATAAGGCTATTGGATTTTAAGTTTATTTGTAATGTACCTTAAACCACTATATAATTCTTAAATCTCACCTCACATACCCTAAACCATGGACCCAGCAGTGGCCACTCTTGGATATTCCCTCCCTCAAGCCCTCAGAAACCAATCAGCTTCCTGTCTCCTTAGATTTTCTCATTCTAGACATTCCTTGTAAATGGAGTCACATGACACTGGCCTTTTGTGCTTGGCTTCCTTCTCTTAATATCATGGTCTTGTTTCTGTTTCATTAATTTTTTTTTAGATTTATTTAGTTTAGTTTATGTGTATGAATGTTTTCTCTGCATATATGCATGTGTACCATGTGTGTGCCTTGTGCCTGAAGAGGTCAGAAGTCAGATCCCCTGAAACTGGAGTTATAGTTAGTTGTGAAATATTAGGTGGGTGCTGGGAACCAAACCCAGGTCCTCAGCAAGGGCAGCAAGTAATCTTACCCACTGAGCATCTCTCTGGCAACTTAACATGATGTTTTAAATTTTGTCTATATTGTGCCATGGGTTAGATTTCATTCCTTGGTATTACTGAGCAACATTCCATTGACTCTCACATCACGTCTACCCATCCAACAATTGATCAATACTTACGTTGCTTGTACTCTTTAGACATCATAAATAACTTTCCTACCAGCTTTTGTATAAACAGAACTTCAATTCCTTTGGGTATATTCATAGGAGTAGAATTGCGAGGTTATATTGTGGCTTTATGTTGAAAAAGTTAAGCAATTGCTAAGCTATATTCTCAAGCACCTGCATAGCTCTGCACCAGCAATGAATGGGAATTCTAATTTTCCCACATCCTCACCAACATGATTTACTGTCTGTCTGTCTCTATTACAGCATCAGTGTTGTGAAGTGACATCTACTTATCATTCTCCTCTAGTTCCCTCATGACTGGGGTGCTCAGCATCTCTCCTTTGCTTCTGGGCCCTTCCATATCATCTTTAGAACAATGTCTGTTCAAATCTTTTGCTTAGTTTTGAGTTGAGTGGCTAATCTTTTTATTTTGAGATTTTTGATATTTGTTCTCCAAATTATTTTTCTAGAGATGCTGCTAAAAATGTTAGGTTTCACTTACTTCAGTCCTAGCCTTGGGATGAAATACACCCTTATTGATTTGCATAATAATTAAATCACAACATTTACTGAGTTCCTTCTTTGTTCCAAGTCCTTTACAACTTTTATTTTAAAAATAAAATAAATGCTGTTGCTTCGACCACGTGTATCTTCTTTTTATACTCATGAAGATCAGCAAAACCTTTCCTCAGAGAAGCACCCACTTGTTTCTTCTGAAGCTGGGAGACACTCATCCCTATCTCACACCAAGAAAAACAAATTTCATAAAACAGATATAAATCTATAAAATACCATTTGTACTTTAGACGCCTGGAAAAAGTCAACCACTTGCAGACTTGAGGCAGGTACTGCTTCCAAGTTCTGTGTGGTGATATATTGTGTACCCTAATAAAATTTACCTGAAGATCAGAGAACAGAACATGCCACTAGATTAAACATAGAGGCCAGAAAGTGGTGACACATACCTTTAATCCTAGCACTAATGAGGTTGAGATCTGGGAGTTCAAAGTCACCCTGGACTACATGAGATTGACTGAGTTTAGGAGAGAAAGAGCCAGGCAGTGGTGGTACATATCTTTAATCCCATCACTTGAGATCTCATGTCTTTGTTTGGGAAGCACACACCCCTTTAATCCCAGGAAGTAATATGGCAGGCCGGAGAAAGGTACATGCGGTGTGAGGAGATAGGAACTAAAGGCTTTTTGGTAGAAGCATTCCTTTCAGCTGAGGCTCTTTCAGGCTGAGGAGTCAGTGAGGTCAGAGGTGGTGGGTGTGGCTTGCTCTGCTTCTTTGATCTTTCAACTTTCACCCCAATATCAGGATGGGTTTTTTTTTTATTAAAAGACCATCTAGTAATTTGTGTTACAGTTCTGTTTCAGACCCTTGAGATTAAGACAGCTCACATCTCCTGCAAACACCAAGAGAGTTCCCCAATTTGACTTCTATTCACTCTCCACACACCAGATATGAGCTTATCAAGGCAATGAAGGAAAAACCACCACAAAACCATCTGCTGAAGAACATGGAGCAAGACAGAGATTCATTTTCTTAAACCAAGTGTAGCAAAGTCGGCAGCAGGGAAGGACACAGGATACAAACTGAGAGGGTTCATCTTCAACATAAACCACCATGAGCTGCGCAAAGGTCAAGAGTACACTGCCTCCACCAGCCCTACCCTGTTCTGGAAGTCAGAAAGTGACACAAGCAATAATCAAATGAAGGCTTCAGGACCTTGCTAAGCCTCCCCTCCGCCACGCTATCTTGGTTTCCAGAAATGTCCCCATTCTTCACATCCAGGTTCCAAGTCCTGCATTTGCAAATCTAACATACTCAGAGTGTGCCAACCACAAGCAGTCAATGGATTTGAAGCACTGTCTGTAAGTCTGTCCATTTATGATGTGACTCTTCCAGAACAGGCTGGCAGAACCTTTCCCACTGCACCTATGGGTGTAAAAGCTCTGCTACGTTCACCCCATGTGGCTCTGTGAGGGAGCTGCCAAGGTCTCCAAGACTACTATTCATATAAACAAATTCATACATGTTCAACCCTTAAGGTGTCTAGCTATCATTTCCCAGCATCAAAGGGAAGTTTTAGTTAATCCTTGATCCTTGTGACCTCAACCAACACCCTGGAAATGCTGATGCATTTCCTCTTGGCAATGTGACACCACACTCTGGAAAGCCATGGTGAAGAAAGGTTCACCCTAACACTTGTGTATTGGACATATACATGACATAGAGCATGATCATGTTCCATGTAGCACTTTAAACAGGTGGCTTAGGGAAAATGGAACCAATAGGGTGCGTTTTAGTCGAGTCTTGCTGGTGTCCAAATTGGAAGAGGAGATTTAGAAGTGAGGTCTCCCACTAAAGCTCATGCATGTAAAAATAAATAAAAACAAAGATGGCGGAGGGCATGGAAAGATGACAGCCACCTGCATTCTGATGAGAGAGCCATGGGAGGAAATCACACCCACTGCCACCATGATCTTGGAGGTCTCTAGTACTGTGTGGAGTCAATTTCCTTTGACCAGTGATATTTTCTTATGCCAGCCCAACCATATGGGCTTCCCCCAGTTAAGAGTGTCTTCTTACTTGGGCAGCTACTCACCCTATAGTAGTCGGTGCTGTACACGTCCCGGGACATGCCGAAGTCCCCAATTTTCACCAGCAGGTTCTCCCCCACCAGGCAGTTCCGGGTGGCCAGGTCACGGTGCACAAAGTGTTGGGATGCCAGGTAGACCATGCCTGCTGCAATTTGCTGAGCGATGTGCAGCATCTGAGATTGGGTCAGCTCGGTGGGTGGGTTGCCCTCCGCCATCAGCACCGCATCCGGCCCGTGTGCCCTGTGGGAGAACACAAGGGGCTAGAGCCTCAGCTGGAAGACCGGAAGTTGCCCTGCGTTTCCGTTCAGGGACTGGGGCTGGAGGGCACTGCCTGACTAGGTGAAGAAGAGGTCAAGAAGCTCCATTCCACCCACAGTTTATCTCTACAGCCAAGAAAGTGCACGGCTGCCTCATTTCTCCTGAGTGGGACACCCGGGGCTGTGTGGGCTGAAATGGTGAGACCTCACACCAACACGTCAGCAGACTTATGTTTCAGGGAATTCAGAGCTCTGCTGCCATCAGACATTGGCCACAGTCTTAAACGCTGAGAAGCATAATCTGTCTGAAATGGAGTAAAAGCAGGAGCAGAAACTGGCTCTCCTAGAGGCATGGTCCTAGCATCAGTGGGGTCCCCGGGTCTCCTCCAAGTCGTGCTGCAGCAGGCCACCCTGCCCCAACACTGACCACTCCAGATGTCCCTGCCAAAGATAGGCAGCTCATGGTCTCCTTCAGCCTACCTGATCTGTGACCAAATGTGGCTTTCAAGCCTTGACTTTCAACCCTTGACTCTTTCAAGACCTGAGTCCTAGCCAGCAGGGTCATTCATCCCCACAAACCAACCACACAGATATGAGTGCCCCTTGTGTCCTGAGACAGTGCTAGGTGCTACAGGGAGTAATGAAACCTGCTCCTGGCTCTGCATGGCCTGGGCAAAGCGTCCCTCCACCCCAAGGAAAAATAAGAAGGGAGGGCATCTCCATCTAGTGCTTGAAAATACTTGCAACAAAGATGGAGGGTTTTCAATACATGTAAAGTGGTTGGCTCCATCTGTGGGTCCCAGAACTACACGAGTATTTGAAAATGAGAGAGCAAGAATTATGCAACATTTTTAGCCTGCATTCTGCCTTCCATGAACTATTCCAGCCCAGGCACACTCATTTCTCCCTCAAGGCTCCAGCCTGCCGTGACTCTCCCTTTCTTTGCATTTCTAAAACATGCTGTCACCAAGCCTTTCACCCTGCTTTCTCTGGGAGCAAGCTCTGGCAGAGGCGTGGGGCGTATTCCAGTCCACCACTATCTAACACTCTGATCTGGGGAAATCTTTGAACTTCGCTAATCTGCAATTTCCTCATTAGTCAAAGGCACAAGTGTATATTATGCTGGGTGATCCCTTGGTTCCCCCTCTGTCTCTGAATATCTAGATTTAACCATGCTCTTGGGAGGAGCTTCCTGGTTTCATACCAGGCAAGTCTTAACAGATTTCATCTCTCCTCAAACCCCAGCCCCCAGCTGCCTTTTGTGGCACCCAGGAAGAACCCTGAGGAAAAGTTATAAAACAGGACACAGCACAGAAGCCAATGCTCAGGCTGTCAGGATTGAATTTGAACCCAGTGCCAACACAAGAGAGTTCTATCACCTACTGGATCTGTTACTTAATTCTATGAACCAGATCCTTTGAGCACTGTCCTAGGGCATTGGCATGAGGGAGAGTTGATACTGCGTCAAGGGGGGGGTTTACAAAAACTAGGTTTGTAATAGAGCTATGGAGGGTTGCGGGAAATGGGGATTTCTTGGGGATGCCAAAGTCCTTCCCACATCACAGAAGATTCCTCACTGAGACCTCAACCTCAGGTAAAGGATCTAGAGATACATGCAAACTAATAGGGGACCAAAAGACTAAGAGAAACTTCAGGCATTCAAGGAATGAACAAAGGAAGTCAGTGTCAGCCGTAGCCTGTGCCTGCTACGGAAAGCTGGACAGCTGAGTGTGCATCCATTCCAGGGGAAGGAGGTGTCCAAAGCCCTCATGCAGAACGCATCTCTGCAAACCTCACCTCTGCAAACCTCCTGCACCAGCCTTGTGCTCCAGCAGCAAAGGGAAGCTGGTGGCCTGGACACAAGAGCTCTTCATTGCTCTGTGTATGGGGGAGGCTCTCACACCCTTGAGAGCCTGCTTGCTTCTGAGAATGCAAGAAGGCTTTTCCCTGGCAGTAGCCTCAGCACACCTTTGCTTTCCTGGAGCAGATGTCCCTCAATAAGGGGGAGGATAGGTGAATCTCCTGGATGAGTTCTGAAGAGGACCATGGAGCCCAGGTCCTCCTGCATCTCTTGAAAATAAAAACGCATGCTGTTCTCCAGGAGAAGCTCCTTAAAGACCAGCAACGGCAGTGCCTCCCCGGTGCTGTGGCTTGGGCAGCCAACAGCAGGCTATGGGACTCAGCCTTCCTGGTCTGGTTGTCTCCAGCAGGAATGGCAACTCACCACCCGGAACTGGCTCTGTAATTTGCACCTCTCCTTACTGTGTGTTTGAATGTGTAGTGCTGGGGATCAGTCTCGGGGCTTGTGCAGGTAAGGCACGTGCCTTGTCATTGAGCTGCATCCCAGCCTCCTTCTGATGTGTTAAAAAGTGTGTTTATCCTTTAAATTTACTATAAAAATTGATTGGCACATAATAGTTATTCACATTTATAGGACAGAGTATGGTATTTTAATTCATGTGCATTAGGTATAAGGTATGATTAGACCAAAATAATTGACATACACATCATCTTAGAAACTTATCTTCTCCTTGTATTAATAGGATCATCTCTATAGCTATTTTAAAATATGCAATTCATTGTTGCCAACCACTGTTACCCAATTCCAGTCACGAAGACTTACGCATCTCATACAGTGGTTCCCTATACATCCTTAAAGTGCTAACTGGCACTGCTCTGGAAGAAGGAAGTAGGGTCCAGAGGGACATGGCAGGAGTCTCAGCTCTGTCACCTGCTGCATGATTTGGCTTCTTTAACTGCACCACAAGGACAATCATAGCAATAGTGAGTTTGTTTATCTTTAAATTTAAGTCTTGAAATATTATTTGGTTTTTATAAATTGACACATCTTTCATGCTTAGAAATTCTGAATAAATACTATTTGTTATTACTTGAAAATTACTCATCTATCTTTCTCCACATTAAGAGGGAACTTTGGAGAGATTCTAAAGGGAAAAACTGTGAAACTCTTGAAATAAAATTTTCCTTCTCATTGTCCACTTCACCTCATGTGCTCAGTATATGCTTTTTTCCATGAAGAGAAAGGTTAGAGACATAAGACATCTGGCTTTATCATGCACTGCCCAGATGCTGGGGGATCTGTCATGGCGGCTGTGTGCCAGGTCTCCTCCCAGGAAGAGGACAGCCTGTCCTTGCAGTGCATCGCTGCACCTGAGTCTGCTCCTTGGCAGCCACACTGGTCCAGGGTTGAGCAGATTCTGGAATCAAGCTGGCTGAGTTTCCAAGCTCTCCATGCCCTGTAGGATGCCAAGGGAGAGCTTCTGAAGGCATGGGGGAAGCCAGGGTGTGGCTGACAATCAGAAAGTAAAAAAATGGGTGGCAACAGACACACTCACATGAACATGCAGACACACGCACACACACACACACATGCACACTCACAGACACTCACATTCATACTCATGCACACACACACATTCATATGCGCACACATGCACATACACTCATACCATATACATTCACACCCACATACACTTGAATACACACACTTATGTAATACACACTCACACTCATACACACATGCACACATGTGTGCACATACACCATACACTCATATCCACACACACTCACACTTACATACACACACTCATTTATGCACATATACACACATTCATATATACACACAGACACATATACTTCCACATACCCTCACATTCACACACAGAGCACACACTCACTAATATACACTCACACCCATAATAAACACACACATATACTCACTCACAACACATACACACCCATAGTCACACACATTCACACACACTCACACACACACCCATAGTCACACACATTCACACACACACACACACACACACACACACACACACACACACACACACACCGGTCTGAACATGCAGATACATGAAACTGCATCCAGATAATTGCACGTGGGTTTATTTTGTTATAGTATTTTAGAAAGGACATTTTTGGGTTAGGGAGAAAGCCTGAGGAATGATGAAAATATTTCTCATAGGAACAACTAGCCCTCAACCAAAGCCAGTATATCTTATTCTTTTCACTTTAGCCTGACAATACGAAGTTCAGAATCTGCCATCACCCCCTGTCTCTCCCCCACAATGAATGCTTTGTTAACACAGGAAAGTGGGCTAGGATTGTTGCTCAATACCGTGAACATCCATGCACTCCTGATCTCACCTGGCATCCCTTCATACACAAACAGCTGTAGGGAAGCAGAGGTCCAGTCCAGGCAAGAACTGAGCAGCATGTGTAACAAAGACAGAGACCGTGAAAACGGTCCAGGCAGCAGCAACCTGCAGAGCCAGTACTGAAAGCAGTGGAGCACTGTCCCTTCAGTCATTCCTCCTGTGACTGACAAGACTGCAGTGTGACTCTTCCAGGGAAACGGGAAGCTGTCTGGAGCGCACTTCTGTGTGAAGGCCTGGGCAGCAGCCCGGGACACGAGAGGAAGATGGGGAGGACTACGTGACCCTTACACAAAAGATGCCACTCACTGGGGTTTTGAATCCCTGAACCAAAATAAAGAGGAAAACAGCAGAAGTGGTGGGCCGTGGGATCAGAAGTTATTGATAACTCCCCTCTAAACTTGTTCTTGGGGTAGGTGCATGTTACGTTGCTTTAGGCAGAGAAAATGAGGCCAGGAAGGGAAGGTACTCAGTATGCTCCTCAACATCTTTAGTTTCTCTCAAGTGTAATTCTCCACCGAGCTACATGAAGTGTGCAGGCTAATATTTCAAAGATGACAGCTGATGTTTAAAGAAAAGAACACATAGAAAGGACTATAAGGGACTTGGGGTAGAGGTGCCCAGGAAAGGTGGGGGGGCTGATGACCCACTCAGGAGGAGAACCCATGTTCTCTGTCAAGGCTGGGACATGTGGTGCCTCACCCTGGTGACCTTACATGTAAGATCCATTTCTATTTCTGTTTCTGCCTGATGTAGATGAAAACATTCTTTTCTTCCATGTCACGTGGTATCTATATGACTCACTATATGCTTTTCTCTAGACAGTCAAAGGACGGGGACATTCACCAGGGGTCCCTACCAGGGTGACAGGCAGCCCAAAGTCGTGTTATTAAACTCATCTCTTCTTGTGATCCCTTTGCTGACTGAGTTGGTCACCAGGAGAATTCTTCTAGAGTTTGTCCGCTGGATCTGTCATGCTCCAGCTCAATACAGCATCACTCAGAAGACTCAGCTCATACATGCTGGAGCCGAGTACCAGCTTCACGTCTGTTCGGAGGTGGCAACCCTGCTATTGTACCATGGCATCTCCTCAAAAGCTGCTCTTTGAACCTCTGGTGCTCCATGACTTCGTCTCATGTTACAGAACAAATGACTTTTCTCATGGCTCGTGCTCACTCGAAGGCTCCTCTCACTCTGCTCTGTGTCTCCTTCTCCCACTGTCTGGGGGAGGGGACGTCTTGAGAAGCCATTGCTGAACTAAGATCTAATGAGATCAAGGCTAGAAATCCAAGGGGCACTAGCACTCTGTTTCTCTTCTAGGGACCCTGCACACCCACATCTCTCAGGGGGACCTTGTTAGCAATAGCTACACTTGCAAGATACCATTGGCTCTGTCGGATGTTGTTCCATCCTTTTCCTTTGAAATCTTTGGTCTTTGGGCTCTGTCCATTCCATTCTAGACCCAAGAACTCCTAAGTCAGATCAGCCCCACACAGTAGCTTCCCAGCCTTAAGCCTCCAAGCTGTTACCTACTTCCCCTCCCCAGTTCCTGCCACACCTGGCATGCCAAATGCTTTACTCTGACCCCACTATACCGTCTATGGTGCTGCGTAGGTACCTTAGCTTTTTCTGTTTCTGTAGCCTTGGGTAATGCTTATCGTTTGTCCACTTGGCACACTCTTCCAGACACATAGCATTAAATGTAACAAATGATCAGTGAATGCAGATTGACTAATTAGCCTCACCTTAGGTGGGGTGACCAGACAAGGAAAAAGAAATGTGTTCTTCCTTTCCCTCTGCTCCTTTCTCTGCTGTGTGTGGGTATAGCCATCACCAAAGATTCCTCCAAAGAAAGGCCTGGGTTTCCATTCACCCTTCCCAGGAGCTTCCCATCCTCGCTCCTGGTCATCTGAGCAGTGACGTTCTACCCCCTTCTCAAGCCCGGGTTGGCTCCACCCCTCACTATACCTAAGGAACTTGTTGAGGTCTCCATGCTTCATGTACTCAAAGACCATGATGAGTGGGTCGCCCTCCACACAGACACCATAGAACTTGACAATGTGCTCATGCTGAAGGTTGGTCAGCAGCTCGGCTTCACGATGAAAGTCCTTGCGGGCATTGTCACTGGCATCCTTCAGCGTCTATTAAAAAAGGGGACATCAAAGAGAAGATTGTTTCAACAAAGGATTCCATCAGTGAGGCCTAACAGTTCTATTAGGGATGAGGGTGTATCTCACTAATTACACAAAATGTCAGGGAACATCCTAATTCCTGAGCAAGTAATGTTGTGTTTGTGAGGCCTCATCCTCATGGGTGCACAGAGGTTTGTAGCTTATGGAGCAGTCTCATTGAGTTCTGGGGGAGCTTATCTTACAGGCTTCTTACCTTTGATCTGGACCAGTGACTACCAGGGTTTTCCGTCACTTCATGGTGCCTACTGTGATTCCTGTGGTGCTATGTGTGCCTCACCTCTACTTATGTAACCCTTGAAAAGTTTTTTTTTGTTGTTTTCATCTATGTAGATGTATGTGCGTGAGTGGATAAGTGCATGTGTGTGTGTAAGTGACCAGAGAGATTAGAGGTGCTGAATCCCCTGGAGCTGGAGTTACACCTGATGTGCGTGCTGGAACCTGAACATGGGTCCTCTGAAGGGGCATCATGTAGTCTTAACCACTGAGCTATCCTTTCAGCTCCCTCCAGTCCCTGATCATATGACCCTTTAAAGACTAAATTCTGAAGAGACCTCAGAAAGAAGAGCATAGTGAGGCTTGGTGGACCCAGCCTCCAAATGCAACCAGGACCATGTTCAGTCTTTATGTGACACCCTAAAGTTTTCTCCAGCCTGATCACCACACACTGAGAAATGCCCTATCCCTTCAGCTGTCAGATGATCAATCATATTGCCAAGATGCAGGTGATCTAAAACACACCAGCAGGGCTTACACGAATAGGGGTGAGATGCACAGAGCCTCATCAGAAGCTCAACGGCATGAAGAGGTGGCAGAAATACCTGAAAGTCACATGGTGGGGTCCAGATCTGGGATAAGAAGCATGAAGCATGAAGCCTGCATGCTCCATGGTGTCCTATCCATGCTGCTCTTAGTCAATGTCGTGTATATATACTCTGTGTTGACACATGCTATCATTTAGTCAGGACTGTGGTAGAACCAAAGAGACATTGAGCTGGCCTTGGTGGTACATACATTTAGACAAGTGCTGAAGGAAACAAGTATGGAGAATTTCAAGTTCGAGGTTAGTGTGCCTAGAACACATGAAGCCCTAGATTTAATTCCCATAATCACAAGAGAAAGAAATAGACATTGACCCTAATCTTGACCCAGGAGGTTATGAACAAATAGGGAGAAAGGGCATTTATATAATTAACTATGAATTTAGCAGCCTGAGTGAACCGGCTTCCCCGCGTCTCTGTTTGGTCTGTCCCTTGGCAGTGTTCTCCTGCATGCAGCCCTACAGTTCCAGTTCCACCATATGTAACGTTTGCAGCTGCTCAGATAACGATGGCCTGCCTCCTGATCCTGCACAAGTTCGCTCCTTTGCCTAGAATACTCTCTTGGGTGTGGTCACTGACATAGGAAGTTGAACAATGCTCCTCCCCTATGGTGTCTACATCCCAATCCCCAGAATTTATGACTGTTACCATCCATTGTAAGGGGAATCCTGCGTATGATTAAAGTAAGGATCTCCGCCGGGCGGTGGTGGCGCACGCCTTTAATCCCAGCACTCGGGAGGCAGAGCCAGGCGGATCTCTGTGAGTTCGAGGCCAGCCTGGGCTACCAAGTGAGTCCCAGGAAAGGCGCAAAGCTACACAGAGAAACCCTGTCTCGAAAAACCAAAAAAAAAAAAAAAAAAAAAAAAAAAAAGTAAGGATCTCCATATGTGGGGATGAGCCTGGGCTGCTTGGGTGAGCCCAGTACCAAACAAAAGCCCTTGTAAGATATAAAGAGACAGAAAGAAACCCTTCCCCAGAGAGGCTGCTGTCAATCACTATCAAGGTTAGATGGCAGGTGTGACTATCAATATCCAGTTAGATTCAGTCCTGGAACAAATCTAAAGCATAGACATCCAGTAGGTTTGTACTATCTGAGAAAACTTAGCACTATGTCCAGCATCCAAGAGTGCTGCCAGGCCCTGGTGGTCATTTCCAGGCGCCCTCCTCAGCTCTGTTCTTCCTTCAGCCCTTCCTGACAGGTGTTACCTACAGACCACGAGATATGCCACCACCTGAGTTCCCTGAAAGACAGATCTGAGCTAGATACCATCAAGTGAAACGTTTATTAGTGGATATTCCCAATATCAACATGAACTGGGAAAATGGAAAGGGAGGCTGAGCTCTGCTTCGCCTCAACAGAAGCCTCATTTATCTCTATGGCCAACCTGTAGGGAGCTGAATAGAGTCCTGAGTCAATCAATCAGTCACAGATGCAAGGAGCCTCTAGAACACAGTGTTAGCTCCATGGCCAACCTGCAGGGAGCTGAGTGGAGCCCTGAGTCAATCAATCAGTCACAGATGCAAGGAGCCTCTAGAGCACAGTGTCACCTTGCGTGGAATTGCTGAACGCTGTGTCTTTTGTGCTTTCTCAGGCTTGGGGGAGCAAGGTGCTGGTCATTCCCGAGTATGTCACAGGCTGGGTTTTCAATATGCCGTTTGTATTCAAGGGCCACCGTTCACATAGAAGGGGGCATCAGTAAGTATGCTGGAATCCCCAAGGAAGCAGTAGCTGAGGGAGGCAGCTCTGGCAGCCGCCACCCCCCCAGAGCTGGCCATTTCCCTAACTGTAGCTCTTCAGCAGCACTTAGTGTTCTCTGTGGAGTTGTGACTGGACTCAGACAGAAGTCACAGGTGTCACTTCCCTTAGGCCAGAGGTGATGGCATCTTAGGAGAAATTGTGAAGTAGCCCTTCACTGTCCCCACAAGCACCATAGGCTCTGGCTGGAACAGAAGCAGATTTGGATAGCGGAGTGTTCAGAGGCCAGAAATCTCTGATGGTCATTGCCATGGAAACAGTGCTCTTCCTCACACAATAACAAAATGAACAGTGGAAGAGAACTAGCATGTGGGGCTCTGCTTCCTTGAACCAGAAGAAACTGAGCTTGCCATATACCCTCTGCCTCCCAGATTTAGTCTAGTTGGGTCCAGACTAAATGTCTTTGCCTTTCTGTCACACAGGCAGGTGCCTTGAGCTTATCATGAGGGTTTTATTTAATTTGATTTCGTACATGAGCATGGTTTGGAGTTTTCTTTTTCCGCCTGTCTTTCTGAATTTCTCAGGGGGAATTCAGCAAATGAGGTGAGGGGTGTGGAAACATGGAGATGAGCTTTGCCACCTGCCTGGTCCTTTCCTTGATCTCAGAGAAAACCACACAGACCTGCACATTCCTTGCCTCTGCCTTACATTTTGGTTTGGGGTATTATGTCTGTCTACACCACCAATTTATCACTGGCTGCTAATTCAGCATTAAGCCACTAGAGGAGCCCTGATGTCCAAGGTCTGCAGGAAGTAGAGATTCGCTCAGGATGTGGAATAGAAGTGAAAGGCGAGTGGACACTGGAGAAAGTGCAGTGTCCGCCAAACAAGGATCAGGAGGAACACGCAGGTGGTCCAACTTGCTCTTAAGTGGGAGGGCTGCCCGACGCACTCTGCCCTGGCGACTCAGCCCCACAACCACCCTCCTCCCAGGAGCACTCCAATGGTGCGCAAGTGGATGAGGTTTCAGCTAGAGCTGAGAGTCCCAGGTTCAAATCCTGGCCACGCCCTGCTCTTCTCTGAACCCTGTTTTACTCTCCTATAGAGGGAGGGTAACAGCATCCACTTCACAGAGGTGCTAGAAGGACAGTGAGGGAGCTTCCCAGGATCCTTTGTTAAAAAGGACGTTGATGTGATTTGAATTTGAAAACGGGTCCCTGAATTCAGTTTTCTCACACAAGGATCCACAGAAGATGAAAGATACATGGATAGGGTATTGGTGTCCACTCAAGGCATGAGAATGGCTCTACTCCTGGGGAGGTCACTGGGGAGGTGACGACCTCCTGAAGGTCTGTCTAACCTCCAGAAAGTATCAGGCTGTGTGGAGATGTAGGCTTGGCCCTCACGCTCTCCCACAGTTCAGAGACTGTCAGGATTTACAGGAAAGCTTATGTCTAAGGCCTCATGTGTTTATCACATGCCTAGAAAAGGGGCTGGTCCTTGTAGGTCTTTGTCACGGGCACAGACAAATCCTGCAGAAAAACTTTCTGGGCAAGTTCCAAGTATGTCCTGTTGATTCAAGAAAGACAGATAAATGCTAGAAAGACACAGAGAAAGGCAGAGAGAGAGACACAAAGAAAAAAAGATTCAGAGGAGAGGAGGGAGAAGGGGAAGGAAGGGAGGGAAGAGTAGAGAAGAGGGAAGGGGAGGGGAGGAGAGGGGAGGGGAGGGGAGTGAAGGGGAGGGGAGGGGATGGAAGGGGAGCGAAGGGGAGGGGAGGGGAGGAGAGGGGAGGGGAGAGGAGAGGAGTGAAGGGGAGGGGATGGAAGGGGAGGGGCGGGGATGGAAGGGGAGGGGAGCGAAGGGGAGGGGAGGGGAGGAGAGGGGAGGGGAGGGGAAAGGAGTGAAGGGGAGGGGATGGAAGGGGAGCGAAGGGGAGGGGAGGGGAGGAGAGGGGAGGGGAGGGGAAAGGAGTGAAGGGGAGGGGATGGAAGGGGAGCGAAGGGGAGGGGAGGAGAGGGGAGGGGAGGGGAGTGAAGGGGAGGGGATGGAAGGGGAGCGAAGGGGAGGGGAGGGGAGGAGAGGGGAGGGGAGGGGATGGAAGGGGAGGGGAGGGGATGGAAGGGGAGCGAAGGGGAGGGGAGGGGAGGAGAGGGGAGGGGATGGAAGGAGAGGGGGGGAGGGGAGGGGAGGAGAGGGGAGGGGAGGGGAGTGAAGGGGAGGGGATGGAAGGGGAGGGGAGGGGAGGGGAGGGGAGGAGAGGGGAGAGAATGGGAGGGGAGGGGAGGGGAGGAGAGGGCAAGGACAGAATCTTCTTTGAGAGAGACAGCCTGAAGATTTTAACAAGCACCAGTATCTCCACTTCTCCAGTGCTGGCCAGCTCTTAGTGCAATGTCAGAAATTGCAGCTCACTCACATTTTTTTAAAATCAAAAG